GGCTTCTTCGAAGTGCTCGAATGCGATTGGCTGCGTGACCATCCGAAATGACACTTTTTGTCCGTTTGGTCAATGTTCGTGTCTCGTGCCATAGTCGACGAAAATACAGACAAACAGGTTATATATGAGTTTGAGACCAAGAATGGTGTAACTCGACCTGTCCGATTCAAAGACTCCGAGGGCGACCATGAAATTAAACGGAAATTAGCTAGGAAGGAATATAAAATGGACTGGTTGCCACCACCTCCACCTCCACCACCTTTACCTGTTCCTCAAGTAAATAAGCCTTTCCCGTTCCCAAGAATTCCCACATTTTAATTCAAATTCGAATAAAAATTTTTTATTTCATGCAATGTTTTATTTCTGTGCCGTCTTCAAGTATGCCCCAGTACTTACGCTTGGAGAGGACATGAACTTCGGTGAAAATTTTGTCCAATTTGAATTGACCCATCTTTTCACCGACCACCCATTTCAATGAGTTTGTTGTATCCTTCTTCGTTCGTCATGAGTGCGTCAATGTTCTCATAGTAAACCTTCACTTTCGATTTGACTTCGGAGAAGAATTTGTTGTAGTTGTCAAGGACTGCCTTTGCGAACTGAGGGTAAGACCAATGTTCGACAATAGGTTTTAATGTGGTTACTAAGCCACTTTGACCTTGAGTGAATTCGTACTTCAAAACAAAAGGAGAAAACCTTTCAACAAAGTTGTCGACCTTCTCATAATGTTTACTCTTCATCTCTTGAGGTTTCTTAATGGAATATCCCCATGTCGAATTCATAAGCAATTTGAGTGTCATTGCAAGTTTGGGGTTTGAAGCTTTCCTAATATCATACAGTTGTTGTATGACTTTTCCAACTGTATAGTTCCTTCCCGGGAACTCACCATCTTCGTTTGGAATTCCAGTCGGAATATATTGGACAAACCTCATGTATGCAGCGTTAAGGTCGACATAGTATATCTTTTCATCTGAGTCGAACTTGTCGCAACCAATTGGTCCAGTTTGTGGAAATTCAAGTGAGTCTCTTATCTTCTGAGAAACTTCTCCTGTTATCTCATAAACATCGTCGAAGCAACCTGTTTCATATAAAACCTTCTGACCTAACTCAGATGCTCTCCAATACAATTTGACGTCAATTGGATGTCTCAATGGAAGTTTGTTTATAGCATCTTGAAGTTCTTGCAACCTCATTGGAAGTTCTTCTGGTTCAGGTTGGTATCCGAACAATCCAACTCCTTTGGAATTGTGTACTTCTTTTGTACTAGAACTTTGTCTGGAACAACTTTTGGTCTTGCTAACAGTGAAAAGTTTGTTTCGTCTTTTGGTACAAAAGTTTCTGTCAGCTTGTCATCTGGAATTGGTTCCAACAAACCTTTCTCGAAAAGAATGTTTACAGCTCTGACAATGTTGCACTTGCCTTTTCCGAACAATGGGTTTGTAAGACTTTCGTTCAACATGAAGTGGTTGTGGACAATTGCAATCTTCAACCATGGTAAATTGAACTCAACAACATAGTCGTCATGTGAAGAACCTTTAGCTGTAGGTATGTTGACTCGGATATTGACATTTGCCAACGGTGCAATTTTTGCCAATTGACCTCTGAGAATGTACCTTGTCTTCACACATGACTCAAGATACTTCATCTTCTCATCTGTAACAAGACCAGAGTTCCTGAGACATGTAAGAATGCAAGGTTCATTGACAATTGTTTCAATTGAATTGTAAATTCCATACCTTGTCAAGTCAATGTCAGACTTATTTATGAACGGAAAGTATCCAGCATGTTGTCTGACTGCTTGAGGGTTAGGTTGGTACCATTCGAACTTGACACTTGCAATTCCTTCAATTGCATTCAAAATGTCTGAGTCGGAGTCAACCATTTGTTCTCTCTTTGTAGTCTTGAAAGCGTCAAGAAGCATTGCAGCTGTTGTGACATTGCCATGTGCATAGTAAATGTGACCATCCAAATCTGTTATGGTCAATCTGAGATTGTATCCTTTCTTATTTCCGTCTTGTATGGCAGCAAGTACACCCATGAAGCCTTCTTTGTTCTTTCCTTCGTCAAAGTTTACTGTAAAGGTTCGACCAGATGTAATTTGACTTCTAACTTCACGATACTTCTCATATGCATATCTTGTTCTTTCCATGGGAGCATGTGCGTCTTCACCTTTTCCTTTTTTCCTTCTCAAAGGATGCAATTGTTCGTCATGTTTCCAGTAGAATCTGGCAAAGCCGTCGTGTCCTTCAACTTGAGGTTCACTAACATCGAAAGGCATGTCCATAAGACGTTCTTCTTCTAACCTCTCTAGTCTGTTTGGATAATTTGCACGTGCTGTTTCCAAATCCATTTCGTAGCGAAGACCAGCCAGTTTGTCATAGACTTTTATGGGTCTTCCTTTCTATATTTAAACTTCTTCGAAACTCTCCAACCATATCTTTGCAACTCTGCTTTTATTCTAGCAGACTTTCTATCCATTCTATATGGGGGCATTTTTATAAAAATAAAAAAATGTTTTTTTCTTTACTTAACATAACCGCCTGCTGCCATAAGTCTTTGACGCCAACCCATACCAGCTAATGAAGGTTGACTTGGTTTAGTTTCCAAACTAAACTTTGGTTTTGGTTTATCTTCAGTTTTTGGTTTCTCTTCTTCTATCGGTTTTTCGTCACTTTTCGGTTCCTCTGACTTTACTTCACCTGCAGGAACAGTTGTGTTGTCAACATCTTCATAAATATCATATGCCATTTGTTTTTGTTTTCCTTTCAACTTTTTGTGTTTGTTGTAAAGTTTAGAATATTTCGACTCTAAGTCAATGAGATGTTCTATAATGAACTGTTGGTCAGTGAAGTAAACTTTTCCATCTGTTGTCTCGAAAGCTCCTTCAGACTTCAATATTTTATTTGTGAGAGTCTGTTTCTTTTTTGAGATACTAGCCGTTCCATTTCTATGAAAAGTGACTTTATAGTTAGGGTTTGTATTTCCAGACCTGGCACTTTCTATTATTGAATTTTTCTCTTCATCTGTAAGTTCTTTGACAGGTTTTGACAATGGTTCTGAACTTTTTGTTTGTGGTGTCAAATCTACCGTTTCAACTTCTTCGGTCATTTCATCTCAGTAAAAAATTTTAGTTTGGTTTGTTTTCAACTGGTTGTTGTTGTTTTTTAAGTCGGTCTAAAACTTCCTGAGGTATAGGAAGAACTTGACAAACACGTTGTGTAACTGCTGGAAGTCGACAAATCCATCTTGAACCCATTTGTCTCAATGCTGTATTGTTCATTTCATCTCAGTAAAAAACTTTACATTCCCCAAGTTTGAGGTGGTTGCGGTTGGTTATTGTTTACCCACTGTTGTGCATGGTTATATCCTCTGTTAAAGAATCTTTCACCTTGGTCCATATAGTGTCCTGCTTGGTTATAGTAGTCATTTGCTTTGTTATAATAGTTTCCTGCTTGTCTTCCTACATTGTCCATCCATCCTTGAACTTTTCCTCTTGTTTCAGGATTTGGAATAAGATTTGCTGCATCTCGTGCTACATCCCAACCTTTCTGTACAGTTTGTATAATAGGTTGTGCTTTCTCTTTAAGTATACCTAATGTACTCAAAATCTTCCTTCCAACTCCAAATACACCTCTGGCTATTGTTCCCACTGCGGGCAAAAATCTGGATGCAACTCCTGCTAATGCGCCAAATAAACCCATTTCTTATGGGTAAAAAATGACGAATCCAAACAAGGACCCCTATGTTTCTAAAGCGACAAAGAAAGCACTCATGATAAAAATCTTTAGTTCAACACCAAATGCTTGGTTTATGGATATCTTGGAAAACATTCCGAGGTATAGAGAAGATGGACCACCATACTGGCTAATATTTGTCGGTCAAAACACAAGATACTGTGAAGCCATACCATTACAGTCCAAAAATATTTTAGATATCTTAGCAGCTTTGACAATATTCGTTGACAAATACCATCCAACAAAACTGACATCTGACTGTGAAAGTTCTTTCAAATCAGATGATGTAAAAAACTATCTGCGTTCAAAAAATGTAAACCAATATTTCATTGTCGACCAAAACCATTCTGCTCTTGGTGTCATTGACGGTTGTATAAAAATGTTAAGAGACTTAAACCAACCACAAGGTGGTGAAGCAAATGAAATGTCATATGACGACAAATATAGACACTTCTCCATGGCAAAGATGAGACAAGTTTTAAATATTTACAATAGCCGTAAACAAAAAGGTTTGGGAAACCACTCCCCCGAAGAAATGAAAAACAACCCTGACTTAGAGAAAGACTATATATTTAATAATTTAGTCAAAAGAGACAAACAAGAAAGAATGCCGGGCTTCAAACTTCAGAAAGGTGACAAAGTAAAAATAGAAATACCTAAACGCGACCCATATGAAAATACTATTGACTATGACAACAATGGGAACCCGACAGGTACTCACATTCGTGTTCGTAAAAATAGAAGAAAGTATACAAGAGAATATTATGAAGTTTTAGGCAAACATGGCAAAATGTACACACTGCAAGCAGAAGATAAAACTACTATTGTCAGACCTCGTTTCAAACTTGTCAAAGTTCAAGGTGGTATACTTTCAAAGACAGTTCCTAACAAATATAAGACAACTCCTGACGAATATGCTAAAGAAGTTGAAAATGACGACTAAGCATTTCTATACCATGCGTAAACTGTCATGTAAGGTGGCATGTAGTCTTTACTTTGTCCCGTTGTTTGCGTATATCCGAAACGCGATGTGTATGGTTTCCATCTCCCTGAGTGTTACCCCAGAAACAATTTATAGCAAACTGAACGTTGTCTTTAACATCATATCCTTTACCTTTTTTCATTGCTGACCAATCCCAAAATTTATGCTTATGCCAACCTGCTTGAGATGTACTTAAATCTATGTAGTGACTGTGTGCAGGTAAATTTTCACCTGAAATCGTTTTACTTCCACCTGTTTCCTTTGAAGAGTTTGCACAATACAAAAACCTGTCGACTATTTGAGTCCAAGTTCCAAAACCCAGAACTGTTTCTGGTCTGGTAGAGTTCATTGACGTATAAATAGAGCCTATAGGATATAATGTTTGAAGCATTTCTGTCTTTAATGTTTGAAGCTCTGTTTTGTCTGCTTTCTTGTCATATAAATCTTGAGCAGTGAATTTAATATTATGTTCATCCTTCATGACATAAACATCTTTACATCTAATGTTTCTCATCGTCGTTATGTCGTCATCCGATGTTAAACCTTGTGGAAAGTTAGGAGGTTTACAATATAATACATCCCCACCAGTTTCTTCAACCGTTCCTTCAATACTTTCTATAGCAACAGTTGTAAAACTTGTATGTGTATGGTTCTTATTTGCTTTCTTCTCTAACTCATCGTTAACATAAGTTTTATCTGCTTTAAGGTCTAAACATCCTGAAACCCATCCTGTATCGGCTTTAACTTTAAAAGTCTTCGATGTCCATTCATGGTACCAGTCAACCCTTTCTATAATTTCTTTATCTTTTTCGTTAACATATTCCTTATCTGCTTTCTTCTCTAACGCACTAGCCATAAGTCCCTTATCTACCTTATTTTCAAGGCTAACGTTTAAGTCTGTTATTTCAGATATAGAATGTGTATGAGTCTTTTTAGAATATTCGTTTTCAGCTCTTGTCACTTCACTTGACATTTTATTGTCAACATATGTTTTGTCTGCTAGTTCAGGATGAGTATGTTCTTTCGTTGCATATGTTGCATCTGCTCTGTCATGTTCTTTTGCTTTTTCAATGACATATTCTTTGTCAGCTTTGTTGTCAACATCTGCTTTCAAAAGAAGTTCATTTATAGGTTTCTCGTTTAAAGTTCCTTTTGTTGGATTTATACAGACAGTATGGTTCTTATTGTCTTGAAACAGAAACTCATCTGTCATTGGGTTTAATGTCAGTTTTAAGTTTCCTTCTTTCAATGACTCAGATATCTTAGAATAGTTTGAAAAGTTTGTTGTGTTCTTATTTAGAGCTTGTATAATGAGTTGTCGGTTGTGTTGTATTTCTCTCATAGACGCTGTTTCATTTGACATTTTTATTCTAGATAAAATATGCTTCCAATAGAAAAAGAAAATTCAAGAGTTGCTACAACTAAACCATTAGATGAACTTTTTACTAATGTCGGTCAAAAGTTTGAGACAGAGACCGTAAAGCATGAAGGCTATCGTTTTGACTACCCATTAAGATGGTTAAGAGACCCATCTGTCACAAAAGCTATTGGCTTTCGTAGAATGAAGTTTGTGTCTGTAGAAGATAAAAGTTTTCCATTTATTGTAAGGTTTCATATAGATTATATATCTGAAGGGAAACGAAAAATGTGGGAAGAAATTGAGCTAATACAAGTTGACCTTTCATCTTCTCTACAGACTGCGTTAAAAAATATAGAAGATAAAATAAATTCATGTTATGCAAAATATGCTGATGAATATGCAAATACCGAGAGCACACTTTATGTGAGAATTGTATATGACAAACAAAATTCACAAGTGTCATTTCAAATCTACGAAGACAATCCAAAGAAAGACGAACAAATATATACAGAATTCACTGCAATGTCATGGTATTATTTGCAAAGAATGTTAAATCAGAAAGTCGAACTTCCTTTAGCAAATATTTACAGTCGATATGCAAGAGATGAACCATATTTATTTAAAGATGTTTTCGACCCAGCTGCTATTATTGTTCATGCTTCATTTTCTGGCGCCCAAAACTCTTTTTTATGCTTGGCAAATGACTTTTACGAAAAACCTACAAAGTTATACGAACCACCAAGTGGAAGTATTTCAGACTTTCAAGTATGGTTTTTACAGATGGAAGAAAAAGAATAATTCCATTATACCATGCGTTTTACTTAGAACTTAGTTTCATATACAACTACTATCGAACGGTAAAAATATAATTTTTTAATACGGTTGAGGTGTTGGATTTGGTTGCCAACTAGACTGTGGTGCAGGTTCAGGCTGTTGTATAACAGGAGCTTGCTCTTCTGGTTCAGGGTCTTTAGGTATAATACCAACAAACTGACCTACTCTTTTACCAATATTTTTGACTCCGTTCCAAATTCCTCTTCCTACGGTTTTTATTCCATTCCATATACCTCTTCCAACATTTCGAAAGAAGTTTCCTATCTTACTGAAGAAACCCATTTTACTATATGTAAAAATCTAATGTCCGCCTAGTCTCTTACGTTTCCTGTTGAGTTCCATAGCATTCTTTAACTGGAGCTCATACATTCTGTTTTCTCCTCTGGTAGAAAACATATTCTGGGTCAACTCCTGTGTTCGCGTCATCTGCATAAAGTTGTTTATATCCCACTTCAGGGTTTGTATAAAACTCTTTCCATCTCATATTTGCATACCATGGTGGCAAACCTAACGCAGCGTCATTTGACATGGCAGTTTGCATTTGTACATCTGTTGGCACTTGACCATAGTTTGCCATTGCAGTTTGTATTCTAACTTCATTTGGAATATTCTCTGGGTTTGGTTGTCCAGGTTGCTGTGCATTCGCTAAGTTCTGTGCGTCCATTTAATATTAGATAAAAATATCTCTTACGAGTACATATACTGAACATTTGCAGGCATTGGTTCATCTTCATATTCTCTGTACTTTTCTGCCACGTCAAATAAATAAATGACACAATGGAAAAAACCTAAAACAAGTAGTCCGATTTCAAACCACATTTACTTACTAATAAAATTTCTTTGTTATGACACTTTCTCCAGTTTATAGGACCTCTCTCATATTCTATCTTGTCATATATAAACTCATAGTCATGTATGTCCTCTAACCATCTCATAACGGTTTCCAAACCACTTTTATCGATGTAAAGTAAAAGCATGGATGGTTATGTATAACGTCTAAAGTTTCTAAAGAGTCTCTCAAAGTCCAGTCTACTTGGTATTGAAAATCCCATGTGTTATAGAACGGCGGGTCCACTATAAGAAAAACATTTTCCTTGTCTTTATATTTTTCATACAAATCTGTCCAATGACATCTCACAAACTCTATACCCTCAATATATTTATCTATGTCCTCTTTGAAAACATTTGTATAGTTAAGATATAAAACTTTTGACATAAGTGTTTCAATGTCATGAACTCTTATAGCACCACTATATAATAGTCTAGCAGATATACTATTCCAGTCTATATATTCTGCTTTTTTCAAAACCTCTCTCACAATTTTTTGTTATCTAATGGTATACGTTCCATCTTACCTATAGGTATCTTTTCTTTTAACTCTTTCAATATTTTGTTAGTGTCTGGAATATGTTTGAGACGGTCCATATAGTTGTCGAAGTCATTGCATATAATCTTTGAGTCTGGGAATATTATATGGCACAAATGGGATATATAGAAACTTCCACCGAACAAATCTACAAATGTTAGACCATTCGGTAGTTTCTTAAGTTCTCTCAATATAATATCTTTACATCTACTCTTATTTCCAAAGAACGGTAACGGTGGTTTTGTAAAATTCATTTATATATAATAATAAAAATGTTTTTACCCGAAAAGTGACAGAAAAGTGACAAACCATGAAAACATATATAATTTGTGAAAAGCGACACATTATATAATGTTTTCGACCCAGAAGAAGGCTTCTTCCCAGAAGCAATGGAGGAAGAAGAAGAGTCCTCCGAATATAAACTTCATTTATACAAAACATCTTCGGGGCTAGAGGGCACGAAGTGCCTGGAAGCCCCACTACCTTTTTTTTTTTTTTTTCAGGAGGTAAAAAATTGAAAGAACTACAATTTTGAATTAAAAATAAGATTCATTCTGCCAAATCAAATTTAATTTATTAAATTACTATCGTACAATTCATAATTGGCTTACTTGCGTAGTAAACTCAAATTGAAAATGAATTTTCGATACATAAATTGGGTACTATTCATTTTTACGCAGTTGTTTAGACAATTAAAGGTATATTTATATCAACTATAAATGCTTCAAAATCATTATTCAATTGCATTCAAAGTGTTATTCATATTTATCGTCCGACCTAAGATGTTATTTCCAATTCAATTTTTTCAGGGGGTATAACTTATGAAGTACCCAAAAATTCATCACAAAGTTAAACTAACATTACCTATATACATATATTATCTCTTTCTTAGCAATTTCACTGAATATACATTAATTTCTGGCGATAAATTTATATTAAGAAATTCAGCATCTTTGATAGATAGCTGATATTCAAAATAAGAAGCTGTAATGTTTGACTCATGGTGATAAATACCACCATGAACGTTGCAATGATCAATGAAACTATTTGAAATTATTAATTGTGTTCTATCACCAAATCCTTCAAATGTTTTATCGTTACATCCGTTATTGAAAATTGCACAATTGTCTATATTAATTGTCATACTTGGAGTTGAAAAAAAATGAAATTACTTCTTCAGCGCAATTAGTAACTGTATTATTTACAATATTACAATAACTAATATTAGAACTTGAATCATAACCAAGGATGATCGCATCTGACTTAATTAAACAGAACAAGCAGTATTTCGTAATTATTGGTGTATAAATAACAGTAATATAAAATCCTGCAGCCTTATGAGCAACAATATCTGTCATATTTATATTTTTGATTGAACAATCTTTTATTTTCATGTGAAAAACACATTGATTTTCAGAATATTTTGTAAATTCTTCTTTTCCAAGTTTATGATATACACTTTCTGAGATTTTACACGTAATATATTGCCATTTTCCTTGAAAAAAATCAAAATTTAAATGCTGTCCTTTATTTTGAGTGCCACAATTTATAGAAACTGTTCGATATTCAATATAATCTCCTTCAGCTATTAAGTGTATATTAGCTGCTAAATTTTGAGAGATATAGTTATTTTTGTAAAGCGTGTTTGCATTTAAAAATTTAATTGAGTTATATCCTTGATTAATATTAATGACTGTAGATGATAATGATTCGAATATACAACGATTGATGAAATATTTATCAAGTGAAGTAGTAATTGTCGGATTTTGTTTAAATTGAATTGGATTTGGTTCTGGACTATCATCTGGAAAGAACTTTGTCCATAGACTGTTAGTAGATGAACAAAATCCGACTGAAAATAGGAGAAGAGTCACCATTAAAGTTCAAATTTGAACTTCCAAAATAGTTAAATAGACATGAGCGTTATATCTGGAAAAACATCGTTATCAAGTAAGTTTGTTGGATTTTTCACAGGTTGCTGAGATTATTTTGATGATTGATAATTTTGTCAATTTTTATTTCATAATGGATGATAATGATAAGAGATGGTGCAGACATTTTATTGATGAATTGTGGAAATGGAAGATTTGCCAGCCCTTTCGATATCCAGTCGAACCAGAAATAAACAATTGTCCAGATTATTTTCAAATTATTAAGCAACCAATGGACTTCCAAACAATTAAATACAAATTAAATCAGAATTCTTATGAAGATATTCGCGAATTCTTTAATGATTTACGATTAATAAGTTATAATGCAAAACAATATAACGGCGAAGATACTTATTACGGAAAGATGGCAGGAGATATATTAGATGAAGTTAATAAGCGTGCAGAACGTAAATTAAAATTCAAAAATGATACATTAGATGAATTAGAAAGTTTATCAGCACAAATATCGACACTATTAGCAAATCCACCACCTGAAGCTACAGTAAGTCTTCCGGTGAGAGTTAATGCAAAATCAAACTCAAAATCTTACTGAATTTTCAATATTTTTTTATTTTGTTTTTAAACACCATGTTCATATAAATGTATGTTGATTTGTTTATGAGATTGTTTCTATTTTATACTTATTTCATGAAATTTTGATAAATGATATAATCTCAATTATTAGAAACAAATCAATATTTCGGAGATATGCTTCGCTTAATGTGATTTAAATAAAGTGTTATTTATAGTTCTATGTAGAACTCATTTTTATTGAATGAAGTTCAGAAATGAGATAGAGCTTTATGGCATGAAGGTAAATTGTTATTTTGGCATCTCATTATAGATATTGAGAAGTTTTCATGAATTTGCCAAGCATTCAAAGTTTTCATGCAGATAATCTCAAGTTTCATCGACATTTCCTACTTTATTTAAGGGTTTCGTTTTGCGAAAAAAACGTACAATACGCAATTTCGGTAAAAAAACATTTAGCTAGCAATTTCGACCTTTGACTCCACTCAAGACGTCACTTTTTTAATTTTGCGGTATCATATTTTTGGAAAATCTTTATGAATATTATATAAAAAGTCTCTTTATATCTATATTCATATTTTTATCGATTTTTAAAGTTTTTGCGAAAAGTATTCAATTATTTTTGCTATTTGGTCGGGTAAATGTCAGATTTGCGACATTTTCTGATATGATATTCAGATTCTACGTTGATATAATGCTTATAGAACCCTCTTGCTATTGTGTCAAAATTGCGAAACCGATAGCAAAAATATCTCGCAATATCAAATTGAGATATTGAGTGAATTATGCATTATAGAGATTAAATCTGATTTGTGAAACATCTCATCAGTTTCTAGCTAATTCAAAATCTTTACTACTTCTTATTCGATTAAAATGAAAAGGGAATAGTTTCATTATGCTTTAAATGACAGCCTTATAATATATCATAGTTTTCGCTCAATATGCAGCATTTTTTTTTCGAAATCTATGGTCAATGTCCTAAATACTGATTGCTTTGCATTCATATCTCTTACATTTTCTATACAATCACTATTCATTGCTATTCCTATCTTTTTCATTTTTGTTTGTTTCTCATAATTTCTCAAAAACATGATAACTTGATATTTGTAAATATCATACTTTATAACGTAAATAAGAACTTGACCTATTAAGAAAAGCAGTAATGAAAAGAAATCTGAAATTCATAAAAATTACAAGTTTCTGATGACAATTAGCTTAATTAAACCAGGTACAAGATTATATAATTGTATTTTCTATCCAATTATCCATATAATATCTTATCCAGAAAAAATAACTTGATCAATACCAAATGATTTTTTAACTAGTAAATAAAGTATTTTCTTTACACACACATTGTATATCATAGTTTTTTTTTTTGGTTTCGCAAAACATCCAAAAACAAATATGCTATAAAAGTGACAATTTTAGCAAAACGAAACCCTTACTTTATTTTAACTTTAGGCAAGAATATAATGCTTTTACAAAAGCTGTAATATTTTTATTTTGTATCTTCTGAAATATAAACCATTTTACAACCGCTTTTGCTTGAAAAAACCGATTTGAGGTTTTCAATGGATTTTAATAATTACAATATATATAGCATTATTCACGATTTGAAAACATGGAAAAAAGTGCCATTAGAGGAGCAAAATATGAATGAAGCTCCGATTTATAATTCAAATATTCATTTATTAAAGACAGACACACCACATCAAATCTCGAATAAATGGCGATTTTTTAGATTTGCAACAATATATCAGAACATATCAATCAAAAATACAATTTTATCGTCATTTTCCTTTTTTTACACGCTATTGCTCACACCATTAGCAGCTGTATATCCAATATTATGGACCAGTACAGACAAAGCTCCAAATTCTGAAGTAACAGATATCACATTTTTTCCTAATTGCGAAAATCTAAAAAGAATATTTCCCGGAATCATATCATCCAATGTTTTGAATTCGATCTCAATTATACTGATCCTACTCCCTCTTATTTCCTTTATTTGTTGCTTTTACTATTCTGAGAAGCTGATCCATCTACATCCTTTCCTTTCTCAACAAATCATTACGATTGTGTATCCTTACAATTGCGTCGTCTTTTGTAATTACGTAATCAGATTAGCTTTTGCAAATGAAGATTTTTCATCGCGAGCAGTTACTATTTTCTACATTATCTTCTTCGTATTGCATTTATTCCTATACATGGCCCTTATTTACATCGATAACAACTCAATTATCTCTCCGAATAAAATTACTGGGGAATGGTTTATAGGATTTACATCTTACATGCCGCTAATCATGCTACTTGTAATGTTCACCTCAATACAGACACAAAACTTAGGACAAGCCGCATACTATTCATTATTTATTATATCTTTCTTGGTTTTACTAATAGCTATATACTACGTTGCCTACGAAGTTCCCATGCTCAATAACCTTCTTAATTCTATGATTGCTTCTCATTATACGGTCACATTAATAATATTAGCCCTAGATTTCATCAAAATCGACTTTCAAGTCTCCACACCTAAGTATTTATTATGTTTTGTACCAGTAGTGTTCTCATTGCTCTCTTTATTCATCAGATTCATTACTGATCGCAGAAGAATTGTGATTCAGCAGTTTTTGGATCAATTCGATAACCAAGATGGTAATTATACAGTTTCTGCCATTGCAGCTACATTGGAAAGCCTCACTACTGAAAGACAAGTCAGATTATTGATTTACGAAGGTTTTCAATCCGGTAACAAAACGGTTATTTCATCGTCTTTCGTTCAATTTTGTTTAGAACGGTTTCCAACTTCGACATGGATGGTTAGCTATGTCTCCTTCCTGTTTGCAGTTAACTGGGGCACAAATGACATCATTTACAGGTTCATGCTCCATACATTGAGTTTAGATTACTTTGGAATCCGCAATTTACAGATGTATCAAGCGATTTATTGTTTGATGCAATCATCTGAGAAGATTTCACCTGTTATTGCGAGAGAATTGGATGATTACAGGTGTGAAGTTGTACAATTTGCTTCGATACATAGAGCATTCTGGAGATCCGTCATTACCAATGATTCAGATGCCTTCCACGATACTTTCTTCGCTTACCACTCCCAACTCAAAAAATTATCAAGAATATTAAGAAACTTGACAATGAAATATCCATATAATTCAAGTGTTGCATGCGAAAATGCCTTGTTTTATGCAGATATGCAGCATAATTTCCATAAAAGTTCTGAATGTTATTCACGTGCCGCTCAACTTTTGAATTCAAGACGAACATTCATTGTCAATGATCTTTTCTACAACTATTCGATGATGTTTCCCATCTCCAAGCCAACTCTCAAGGAAGAAAACGACTTACAAGAGAAGATTTCAGAAGAATTAAGGTTCATTTCACTTTTGGAGTCACATGAACACGCTTTGAGGTATATGACAATTGTATCTACAAATGACGAATATTTGCAGGCAATGTCACATGCTTTCTCAGTTCCAACTAATTACCAACACGTTGAAATTTCTTTTGAAAAAGTGAGAACGATTATTTTGTATTCAACTTTTGTCATATCTGTTTTATTTTTTGTTTCAATTTGTTTAACTATTCTTAGATTGGTTTACGAGAATGAGAAAGAGCGAGATGTTTATGAACTGAGTTGTTTGATGATGGAAAGAATGATTCTTTTCAGAAACGAAGTTCATTTGGCCAGACAAGATGTCAGATTACTTTCCAACGTTTTGACAGAGGATTACAACGGAATTTTGAATTCCTCAATTTACTATAACATCTCAGATGATGATTGGAAGACAACAGTTAATGGTTTATATATATTAGCAATTAGACACGTCAATGACATTGAAATTGCTTTAACAAGACATGTTTTGAGATTTAACGCGAGAACTTTGTATCAAGATATTCCATTTACTCTTCCAAATTGTAATGAAGTCAATTGCACATTGAGTTATTTGTATTCCGGACTCCATTTCATTTTATTCTTCATGTTAAACAACAAAGATGGTGACAGAGATTTAAATGACAGATTGATTTCTTCTCTTGACACTTTTTCAATTCCTTTAGTTGAATTATGTAACAATGTTTTCAACCAAATGGTTCACAGACACAATGAAACTATTTATAATAATATAAGGGACCATGAAAGGACATATATAGAAATAATTATAGTTATTTATTGTATTTTATTGTTTTTGATTATATTGTTAGTTTATTCGATGCATTCTATGCGACAAAACATGTTTGGAGTCATTAGAACAATCCAATCTTCAATGTTGAAGATGATTTCAAGTTTGTTTGATAAAATGCTCACTTTGGAGCAGAAACAAAAACAAGTTTCTCATGATTATACATTTTTGAAGTCAATTTTATATTTGTTTTTGTCTTTTGCTGTAACAACATTTTGTCTTGTGTTTTTGTTGGCAATCAACATCCAATCAAAGAGTACAATTACAGAAGCAAATAACTCTTTGGATGTTATGGTTGATCCTTCAAATATCACGAGTTTTGCAACATTCATGGCCGCTGTTTTGGAATATATTGTAAGAGATGGTATAAATAGAAATGGTGTTTTGCAGACTTCTTCTATTAATTACATGGCTTTGACTGTTTATCAGAGTTGTTTGTATTTCTTGTTTAATGATACTTGTTTCAATTGTTACACAAAAACAAAGTTTTACGAAAATAATCCAAGAGTTGTTATGTGGACTGTTACTTACGTTTTCTTGGTTTTCGCTGTGATATTTTTGATTTTCTTCATTTTTAATTTACTCAAAGTTATTGATGTAAGTAAATCTGTTGAAGAAATAATGAAATTCGTGCCGCAAGGAGCAAGAAAATCTAATCCTGTTCTAGCGAAAATTATGGTAGGAAAAAGGACGCCTTTCTCGGAAATCTCGGAATTCGCAGAAAATTGTAAGACGACGGTGTCGAAATATGACTTTTTCGTTACGTTTTGTATGGATCCTTTAGAAAATATAATTGAAACAAAAGGTGATGTGAACGATTATTTCCCATTCAAACCACAAAAATTGTCAGATATCAGGGATTATATCATGAATCATTCCAATGATAATCCTGATTCGATTAAGCAGTTCTTTGAACAAAAGAAACCATTAGATACTCGCAGCGTTTCTTTGGATAATGATAAAGAGATTTCGTTGACATTCTCAAGGAAAGGAGCGATTTTACTTGTGAAAAACGATGTCCATCATCATACTTCGAACAACAGACAGAGAATATTTGAGCAATTACAATCTACTGTCAAAGATAGAATGGATAGAAGAAAAGCATCGAGTTTTCCACAGGCAATTTTGATTATGTTGCAAATTAATAATAAGAAAGTTTTAACTGATGTTTGCAACAAATTAGAGACAATTGGAAAAGTCTTGGATACAAGATTTAGAAGAATCGTTTGTACTGTTCAAATGGAGAAGACGAAAGAGTTTGTTGATATGATAAACTACTTAAAAGAACATTATAAAGGTGAAATCAAAGGTGTTTGTCATTTCGGAGGTATTGTTTCTGTTTTACAAAGTTCGATGACAATTGAGAAAACAAGAGTATTTGGTCCGACATACGATGAAGCTAAAGTAATGATTTCTCGTGTTCCAAATGGTGAAATCATATTCACTGAGAAATTACTAAGTGCAATACAATAACTTTAATATATATTTTTAATTTTTTTATTATGTTTGTATAATAATTTTATTTTTAAAGAATTTATTTTGTTTAATTCATCTTATAGATGTTTTTATAAAGGTTCTGAACAATATTTAGATCCTTAAAGCAATAACTTCTCATAGAAAAATATCATTTACTATTCTGATTTTGGAAATTTTAATTGAATAGTTTACATAGATTTTTTAGGAAATCGGTCTCAAATTATATTACAATCATGAAATTGTTGCCGCAAAATACCGTGGATACTTCTATTTACGTGTATTTGAACACAACCACAGCATTAGCCGCTGTTTCGCAAACGAAAGTGAAGCACTTGAAGTCGACACTTTCAGAAAGTACTCCATTCTCTCACATCTCAACGAGAGTAAGTTTGTAAGTGATGACGGCAAACGTCATTTTATCCTTGAATACCCAGCCAAAAACAAATTTAATTCTTGGTCACAACTCCTAGATCCATATTACGACACAGATCGCACTGTCTACAAAAATGCAACAGGTTTTGAACCTGATGATATTCAAGCTGATAATCCTAACAATTATGAATTTGCCAAGTTTGGCGGTCTTGTTCTAGACTCTAAGAATTTTACTTTGTTTGATGGACAGCCCAATCACAAAAATTGGTGTTTTGCTATCGGCATGTACTGCGATCCAAAAATCGGAGACTTTTATAATAATGGAATCCCAGGATTTTGCGAAGCAGAACCACGCGTCAGACTTTTTGCAAGAGTTAATTCAGTTGAAGTCCCTTTGAATTATATATTTCACGATAATTTATGCACACAAAATATTTGCTATCGTTCTCAGTTGATTCGAGCTTTTCTTGCATCATTGTATGTTTTCATATCAACATGACCTATTTTTTATTAAACTTTTCTCTTGTATCCCCATGATCTCAAAGTATTTTTCAATGGGAAAATGTTTTTTGGGTATCTACTAAATTAACATATTTTCTATCATAATAATCAGTTGAAGTCGTTCGAAGATTTTTGATTGAATAGTTTACTTTTTTTTTTCAAAATCGGTCTCAAAGTATTTCATGACCATGATCATGTTGTAGCAGAATATAAAGGATTTTTCTATTTACGCGTTTTCGAACACAACCATAGCACTTGAAGTAAATACTAATGGCAAATACTCCATTCTTTCACATTTAAATGAAAGGAAATTTATAAGCGAGGATGGATATTACCATTTTATCCTTGAATACCCAAGTAAAGGAAAATTTAATTCTTGGTCTCAGCTTCTAAATCCATTCTATGATACAGATCGGACTGTAGAAAAAGATGCAACCAAATTCACGCCAGATGATATACAAGCAGACTATTCTAGTAATCGTTTCGGAGGTCTTGTAAAAGATCCATACAAATACACATTATTTGATGGACAGCCACGGACCTCAGACTTTTGTTTTGCCATTGGTATGTATTGTGATCCCAGGTCGACATCTTGGATAAATAAAGGTGTTCCAGGATTTTGTGAAGCTGAATCTAGAGTAAGACTCTTTGCACGCGTCGATTCAGTCGTCCCTCCTCTGACTAATTTAATGCGTAAAATATTTTGCACACAAAATATTTGCTATCATTCCCATATCATTCAAGAACTTCTTCTATCTTTATATATTTATATATCCATATAACCTATCTGATACTAATATTTACAGCTTTCTGATATTTTCGCATAAATTCAAAACTAACGATTTTAAATAATAAAAAAGTTTATAAGCCTTATTAAGTAATATATAGTGATTTATGATAACTTTTTCCCCGACCATGGATATTAACTTTTTACCTTTGAAATATTTCGAAATATTGAGAGAATGTCCGAAAGTGGTTAGGGCACAATTAATTGATAATTTCAAAGCAGGAAAATGTTAATTTTGAGATAATGAGCTGCTGAAATAGGATTTGCCCTTTTTTTAATTCTGTCAGCGCCAATAAGGTAATAATAATTTTGTCTTAGGATAATGGTTCAGGATACCTCTTAGGACTTTTTATAACTTTTTCAAACGAAAATAATGTGAAAAATTATCTAGAAAATCAGCTTTATTTAGAGACAATTCATATTCATAATAAGTAGCTGTAACGTTTGCCTCTTGGTGATAAATACCCCCAAGAATGTCGTAATAATCTCCTTCAGCTATTAAGTATATATTAGCTGCTAAATTTTGAGAGATATAGTTATTTTTGTAAAGCGTGTTTGCATTTAAAAATTTAATTGAGTTATGCCCTTGATTGATATTAATGACTGTAGATGATAATGATTCGAATATACATCGATTAATGAAATATTTATTGATTAATCCAGAGTTTATATTGAATTGGATTTGGTTCTGGACTGTCACCTGGAAAGAATTTCGCCCATAGGCTGCTAGTGCAAAAAATAGAATGTCACTTTTTCACTTTTTTCCCTTTCCCCATCACAATTTTACTTTCTCAATTTCACATCTATTGCTACATTTTTAATGATTCTATGGAAAAAGGACATGATACCAGATCTAATTGATTCAGATGCAATAAATATAATCGATTCTCGTCAATTTTTCGTACTCTTATATGATTTTGGAGAATATGTTAAAATACACTCAGATAAATTACAAGATTATTTTTATAAATCAATATAAACAAACAAAAAATAATAAACAAGAATAGTCAAAAAAGATATTAGTTCTTTTGTGTCATCTTTGGAGGTTTGAACTGTTGTGAATTGCCACTTGAAAGTCCAGGACGCATCATTCTTACTCCTAACCTTAATGGTCCTGTCACTTTTTTGATTTCAAGTGGTTTTATTTGTTCAGTTTTTGATTCATTTTCTTCCTTCTTTTCCTTGTTAGTAGACAAAGGAGAAATGATTCTCAAATCCAAATGAGGACGACTTCTTATTGATATATCTTGGAAAACTTTTGGTTGATTTTCAACTGATTGCTTCGCAGAAACAAAATCCAATTTCAACTGTCCATTCTCTGTTTTATCATCTTTCTTCATCGAATTCATCATTCGAACAGATGTAAATCCTGGAAGTTCTATTGGTTTGTCACTTTTCACTTCACTCTTGTCGCTTTTCTCCATTTGATTTTCTTCTTCTTTTTCGATAAAAATATCGAAGTAAAAATCAGAAATTTCAGATAAATAAGGAGAAGGTTTCGATGATTGCGAGAAAGACATAAACAAATTTTTCCTTGCTCTACTCATTGCTACATAAAACAGTCTTCTTTTCTCTTCTTTATCTTTCGATCTGTTTGACGGCCAATTTCCAGAATTCAAACCAATAATAAACACATTGTCCCACTCCAAACCTTTTGCCTGGTGTACAGTTGTCATTTGTACAACATTGTCTATATTCTCTTGTATTTCATTCTGATTAAATTTCAGTTCATCAGCGAAATCTCCTGGATTTAAATCCAAATTTTCTGGTTTTTCTGATTCAGAAATCAAATCATTTATCAAATTGTCCTTTAGATTGAGTTTATCCGCGATATCATCAATAATACTTTTGATTCTCATGTCTTTGTATCTACCAACTATTTCAGAAATTTGATTTGTTGCAGAAATTTTCTTGATTATTTCTGAATTTACAATTTTTTCATCAAATTTTCTTTCAGATATTAAAAGCAGCAAATTACAGATTAAATCAAAAGACTGACCTTCATATTTCTGTTTGTTCTTAGAGATTTGTATCCTCCTGTTTTTCATCTCTTCCAAGATCTTCAAACTTTGTTTCCTCGTCCTAAACAAAACCGAAATTGTTTCAAACGGTTTTTTATTTTTTATTTTTTCAATTTCGTTGCAAACCAAAACTGCTTCTCTTTCTTGATTCAACGCTCCTAATATCTTAATTCTGTTCTTCCCAAGCGGCTCGTTCAATGAACATTTTATAGATTTTTTGACACGAATTTTATTATTTTTAATTAATTCTGACATTGCTTTAATAATGAAGTTTGGACATCTGAAACAAGTACTGAGTGTAAATGTTTCCGCGTTTGTAAATTTTTCTTGGAATTGTAATAATAATGAAGAATCAGCACCTCTCCAGCCATAAATCGTTTGATCATCATCACCAACAACAGTAATATGTCCATTACTATTAAATAAAGTATGAATTAAGTCGAATTGCGTTTGTGATACATCTTGCATTTCATCAACGAGACAATATTCAAATCTACGTTGGTAATATTGTAGTGCGTATTGGTTATTACGTAATATCTCTAATGGATATGTTATTAAGTCTGTAAAATCAACTAATTCTTTTGATTTTAATTCGGCTATGTATTTTTCGAAGATTGAAGACAGTTCTTCACTTTCGCATTTCTTTGTTACTTTGTATAGTTGAAGAGCGAGTAATAATTGCTTTCTATCAGCGATTTCTGGTTGTGGAAGATAAGAACTTAAAATCTGATATTGTTCGTTCTCTGTAATCAGTCGAAACTTTTGTATCCCAATGAGAGAACCATATTTAGCAACAATGGTTCGTCCGAATGAGTGAAAAGTGGAGACCGTTAATTTTGAGACTTCTAAGCCCATATTTGTTAATCTTTGTCTTAGTTCTTGGGCTGCCTTTCTGGTGAATGTAATCACGAGTAGCCTTTCCGGTTTAATTCCGGATTCAATGAGATGCGCAATACGATGAATAATTGTGAACGTTTTTCCAGATCCGGGACAGGCAACAATAGCAATAGGATGGTCAATGGATGCATTAACAGCATTAGCTTGCTCCTCTGTAAACTTACTCATATAAAATTAAAGAAATAAAAATTCCGATGAGTGAACTTCCTCTTAACTAAAAGTGACACCGTCACTTTTAATCAGCCGGTTGACAAATTCGACAATTTTAAAACACTCATATTCAAAATATAATCAAAATATTAAGCATACTTAACATTATGATCATTATGGTTATGCGTGAAAGCTAATTGCTACTTGTATAATATAAGGATTATATGAATATATCTGATGCTTTTATTTCTTCTCAAGCTCTCTTTTTGTAATCGATTTGATGATTATGGAGTTGAATTTAACGACGACTTCACAACACTCATCAAAACACCAGACCGAATTCCAGACAATTATGTTATTTTGTCCTCATGTGTCACTATCAGCGGTGGATCTAGTTCACTGAAGAGTTCTTTTGCAAACTGTTTGACCACCATCAAAAGTATCTCATTTGGTCTAAACATCCAACTCCAGACCACTTTTCATATGTATTCAACGGTTCTTCTATTGAAAGTATTGACTTTTCAAACTGTATGAAAATCACAACCATTCCTGAATCCTGTTTTGCATACTGTAATAAACTCACCTCAGTTAATCTTTCCCCAAAACTATTATATATCAAACCAGCCAGTTTTTACTATTGCACAAGCTTAACTAGTATTAAACTTCCTGATAGTCTATTAGAAATCGGATCAGATGGTTATGGTCCATTTTCTTCTGCATCACAATTGTCTCGAGTTGATATTTCCGAAAATTCACAATTAAGAGTGATAGGAGATGGCTCATTTTCTTGGGATAAGCTTACATATTTTTACATTCCTCAAAATGTCACAACAATATACGGCTCTGCATTTTCTTTCTGTAAAATTGAACGATTTGAGATACATCCATTAAATAAAAATTTCAAAACGGATGGAACCTCGTTATTTTCCGGCGACAACAACTCCACACTAATTCAGAGATCTGCTGCATTAACATCAGGGTATGTTGTTCCTTCATATGTTACTAAATTAGGTGATTCTGCCTTTGCCACTTCTTCTTTACCATCAATCACATTACATGATAAAATTTCTTTTGTAGGCAGGTATTGTTTTATGAGTACAGGCCTTTCAGAATTTATATGCAACAGTATAATGACAACAATCCCTTTTGCATGTTTTCAAGGCTGCACCAGACTTAAGAAAGTTGTTCTTACAGAAAATATTACTAAGCTTGAAATTGGCGCTTTTCGTGATTGTCCGTCTTTATCAGAAATCAATATGCCAAATTCTTTGACTTACATTGGTGAGAGAGCCTTCCAAAATGATATATCTCTCTTGTATCTATTTATTCTTCCAAATGTCAATTATATTGGACCGGGCGCATTTGGTAATTGCCACAAAAATCTTTCTGTTAACACATCATTGAATACATACTGTTATTTCAGTGATGGTATGCTCATCATTGATCAGCAAACAGTTTTGAGTGAATATTTTGGTTCAGATTCGAAGAAAGATCTCCATGTTCCATCTACATGCAACAAAATCAATGCATATGCATTCCAGAAGAAACAGCTAAAGAGCATGTCATTCGACAACAATCCATCATTAGATGTTGAATATGCAGCATTTCAAGAATCAACAATCCAATCAATTTCATTTCCATCTGGTCTCAAATCTCTCAAACAATACGCATTCCTCAACTATAAATCTCTTATTAGTGTCACATTCCCACAAGACTGCAAGTTGAGCATTATCTCATCCAACTGTTTCCAGAACTGCAACAGTCTTAGTGTTCTCACTCTGCCTCCATCTATTCGTAGCATCGAAAACTATGCATTTTGTGGATGCAAATCCATCCGCGACATTGGTCTCCAAAACACGCAACTTGTCAGCATTGGTACCAAATCATTTTATCAGATTTCTTTACGCACCGCCATTCTTCCATCCACCGTTACCTCTATCGATATCTCAACATTTGAAGAGACATCGTTGACATCATTCTCTACCTCATGCCATTCTATTCCCGATGGCTGCTGTTTGTCATCTCCCGACTTGTCTAGTGTCACACTTAGTGAAGGTGTCGAACTTATTGGCCAGCGTGCATTCGAGAGCTGCAACATCGACGAAATCCTGCTTCCTAAGTCGATCAGTGTCATCTCCGAGTTCTGTTTTTCCAACAACGAACTTCTTTCTAAGTTCAGCATCTCAGTTAACAGCAGCTTATTCGAAGTTCGCAGTGGTTGTTTTGTTGGATGTCCACTTCTTAAGAAGATCACACTGTTCCCTGACGAAGGGAAACTTCTATTTGGTAACGGTGCTCTTATGACATTCGACCAGACTAAGCTTTACACATTCCTCCCATCGAGCGACATCCGAACATTTGTTGTTCCTATGATGATGAAATACATCAATCCTAAATCATTCTACAAGTGTGATAAACTTGTTCGTGTCCTTTTCAACGGCAACTACATCAACACTATTGGCTCAGGTGCATTCATGGGCTGCAAGAACCTTAACTTCATTTTTGTTAGTTCACCTAGCATCGAGAACATCGGCATTGATGCATTCAGTGACTGTCCTAATCTTGATAAATGCGGCACATTCAGCATTCCTAACGAACTTAAAAGTCTTTTCCTCTCTAAAGGTGTCAAATCTATCTCATTGAAAGAAGACTGTGTTTCTGACTGCAGAAGTGTTATTGCTAACCACTGTGGACACTTCTCTATCACTCAAATTTCTGTTTTTATTTCTATGATATTATAAACAATTAAATCAAAATTGTATATTAAAATATTCTCCATTTTTAAATTCAACATTGAAAATATTATAAGTAATTGTAAAGATGATAAAATTAGTTTATACAATCTAAAATTATAGTGTTTTTAAAATACAATATTCATTATCTTGCATCAATATTCAAATTTTTGTTATTTTTTTCCTATATTGATGGATACAAAAAGATCTAAATACTAGCAAAATGAATATTTTAGCTTTTAAAAATTGAAACGAGCTCAAAAAATTCGTTATTCAAATTATGAGTGAGGAAGAGATTCTTTTAGACCGTATTAGAACACATGTTTATTTAAACGATATTCATCTCATAGAATGGTTCGAGGATTTCGATAAACTCAGAACTGGACGCGTTTCTCGCGAACAATTTCGTAGATGTTTCGAATTCGCCAAATTCTCACTTACAGAAAACGAATGGAACTACCTTTGCCAAGAGTATGCAAAGGATGACGATGTAGATTACAGAGATTTTTGCCACGACGTTTCTAAGATTTTCACAAATCCTGATTTAGAAGTTACACCAAAAGGTGAGCTTCCAAACACAAAAGAGATTGTCACAAAGATTACAAACAGAATATCAACAAACATGCCACAAGAAGTTACTGATTTATTTGAGATCTTAGTTCATCAAGTCACAACTAAAGGAATTCATATTAGAGAAGCCTTTATGGACTTTGATAAGAGCAACTGTGGTCGTGTTACTAAGTCACAATTCCTTCGTAACCTTCCTTTTGAAAAATTAACACAAAAGCAAATCCAAATCCTTTTGGATCGTTATTTAGACCCAAAGCTTGGCGATGTCAACTACAAGAGATTGCATCTCGATGTTATTGACTTCCAAAACCTTCCAGAACAAAAAGATATAATTCCAGAATTTAATTTACCACACCACAAGCAAAGCATTAAGCTTCATCCACTTCCATCAGATCCAGAAACAGTTATTGATCGTTTTGCAGAGTACGTTCATAAGAACAGAGTACGTATTCGGGATTTCTTCGATTCTCATGATCCTTTACATAGTGGCCGTGTTACACCCGATATGTTTATGAATGTACTTACTCTTTTCGGCTTCCAATTCTCTCCAGAAGAACTTAACGACTTGGCCGAACGTTATAAGATCAGAATCGATTTAGCAGATTACGTACGCTACAAAGAGTTCTGTCTTGATGTTGATCGTACTGCCAAGGCTATTCGTGATTCAATTCCACAACCTCCAGCACCATATGACAGACAAGCACAAGCTGTCATTTCTAAGGTCAAAGAATTCATTGCCAAGAATAGAATCAACGTCTTACCACCTTTCCAAGATTTCGACCGTACAAACAGAGGTTATGTCACAGAATTGCAATTCCACAGAGTACTTTCACTTATGACCATTCCTGTCTCTACAGATGATGTCAGAGTACTTCTTGCAATTTATAGTGGAAAGGCTGATGGCGTTGACTACTTCAGATTTGTTGAAGATATTGATCCGGACCATGCTCAATCCAGAAGAACATTTAAGTCAGTAAACGCTACTATTGAGTCCATTGAGAACACATACGGTCACACACCAAGCGGAGACAAGTTCGTTACTCCAGATGTGGCCGACCAATTAATTTACGAGTCAAAGAAAGGTTTGTTACCAAAGACGAAGGAGAACAAATCAATTACAGAGCTTCTCGGAGATATCCAGAGATGGTGCTACATCCATTCCGTTGATTTACACGACTTCATCAAAGATTTCGATCCTTTGAACACAGGAGAAGTCACAGACAATCAACTGAGGTCATCAATGAATGTTGCTGGCTACAGAGTAACTGATGATGAGTTCAAATTCATCACAGACGCATACAGAAGCGAACGCAACCCAGACAAAGTTCTTTGGAGCAAATTCGCTGACGATATTCTTGCTTTCATTGCTCCGAAAAGATTGGAACAGACACCACGTAAAAACCCTGTTTTACCATCAACAGTAATGGCTGAAACAAGGAAGCAAGAACTGTCCGGAAACACAGGAATGTCAATGACAGCACAAGTCCAAAACATTCTTGAGAAAGTCAACAAATACGCTGTACAAAGAAGAATCTCTTTGAGCGAACAATTCCAAGACAAAGACAGACACAAACATAAACAAGTTTCAACAATTTCATTTGCACAAGTCATGCAATTGATCGGTGTTCATCTTTCTATGAACGAAATCAATCTGTTGGCCGAGTACTATCTCGATCCAGTCACTCATTTCGTTAACTACCCAACTTTCGTCAAAGATGTCGAAGCTCTTGGTGGAATCAATTTCCCAGAATACACAGAATTAGTTGTCAACAAAATGACAACTTATGCTGGTGATATCAACACAATTGTTGCTACAAAGCCACCAATAACTGCAGAGCAATTGACATGGAATAAGATATTACCACGTATACAATCATATATCTATAAGAGAAGAATAAGATTGATGGAATTCTTCGAAAACTTCGACCATTTAAGACATGGAAACGTGACACAACAAAAGTGGTATACTGTTGTTGGCGAAACTAATTTACCAATTGTAGAAGATGAGATACAATTCATTGGTAAAATGTTCGCTGTTGAAGGCCACAGTGACTTGTTTAATTACAGAGATTTCTTGGATATCGTTGATCAAATCTTTTACACTAAAGATTTACACAGAAATCCAACGATGAGGCCAAATGAAACAGTTTCTTTCATCCCAGATCCATCTGTTTCAACATCTGTTATTCCTCCGGCTGATGAATATAGAGCTGCTGCAATCATCGAGAGAATGAGGAACTTCGTAACGACAAGGAGAATGGAGATCAGACAGCAGTTCGAGGATTATGATAAGGCACCACCCAAAAACTACATCACTCGCGCACAGTTCAGACAATGCATTGGAAGATTAGGTTTGACATCTGATTCTAATGAATTGGATATCCTTTGCAAGAAGTATAGATGCACAGAACTCGATGAAATGAACTATCGTGCATTCTGCAATGATGTTGGCGGTTACTTAGATTATCATGAACAACAACTCCAAAATAATTAATTTCCATCTATTTTTTATTTTATTTTTTGATTATTATTGAAAATAAAGCACTTTTTAATACTTTTTATAACAAGTTTGTTAATTAATTCATGATTCTCATATAATTTGAAATATAATTTGGAGTTTAACTACTATGGATCAAATTTGATTAGATACATTAAAGAAGAAAAATTTACACTCTACTTCAATGACTTCATTTAGATGGAAACTCCCATGCAGCCAAAAGGATGGTTATTTGATAATTCATATAATCTTTGTGTCCACGAACTGTTATTTCTTGTTGATGACTGATTGCCATTTCTAGACATTATAACAAAGCCAGGGCAGAAATAATTAGTATCGTAAATTTATGAAGAATTGCCTGCTCTTATGTTCGGTTGCATTTTATTTATAATGAAGTGCTTCAGAAAAAACCCGACTTTCTGACATCACATAAGTGTAAACTTCTGAAATGTTTCTCAGTTATTATCGAAAAAAATATTACATTGCAATGAATAACATTTATTATAATATTTGATTTTGAAGTTTAGAACGGCTTGGTATTTTTATTCAAAAAATTTCACATAAAAAGTGAATTGAGCCATGTCATTTTCTTTAATGAAAAACGCCCAAATTAAGATCAAGAGTTTCATCATTGATGAAGGGAAAGAAACAGAAAAGAAATATGAATGCAACGATGTAGGATTTCCATGTCTCACTAGAAGGAAGAAACGCAGATTAAATCAAATTCTTGGCATTTATAATATTCAACATTAGATTCTTTACCATTTCAGGAATTCGATTTTAGTCCAATTCAGGACATTTGTATACATGAACCATTTGATGAAAATAGTAATGATTTTCTATCCTTTTGAATTTATAATGGAAACACATAACTTGTTCTAATAAATGATTTTGCATGTAGTAAATAAAGTTCGCGTTTTTTAACATTGAATTTCTTTTAAAATTGTTTGAAATATGTTGAATAAGTCAGTATACATGTTTAATAGAACATCATGTTATTCAAATATAAAAAAATTATAAAATTGAACTACAAAATATTTTTAAACAAATGAAAATGATATTTGTATATCAGAGTAAGAGTCAATTTAAGCGTGTATTAAAAGAATCAACTCATGATTTTACAAAATGAAAAACGACAATAAAAACTGTAAAATATATTCACGGTTGTATATTATTATAATATACATGAAATTATTAAATTATTTGCATGAAACAATAATCAAAATAAGATGTATTCATTCTGAAAATTGTGAATAATCGAAGTCAGAATTTTGATTTGGTATTTTTTTTCCAACTTCATTCAAATATAACCATTTCTTTTATATCTAGATTGGAATTATTCTAGAGTCTTAATTGTCTTTTTTACTTTTTCCCCACTCGAAGATTGTATAAGGTTGGGTTGAAAAATAGATGGCTTAAAAGAACTCGTAAATGCCTCAAAATTGAGAGGAATGGCATATTGTAGATGATAGAATGGCAGAATTTGACTGATATAAAAAAGTAGTAGGATAGGAAGGGTTGTGTGACTTTTTTTGTTACATCTATATATATAGACGATGCATTAAAATATATTTATTTATAAACACATTTTAAAAAATTAACATTAATTTTAAAATAATTTATTTTTTATCTTTTATAAAAGAAGCTATATATAGATGATGTCAGATATTCCGCGATTAATTAAACATTGTTTAAATCCTGAATGGGTTAAACTTCAATTTAAAAATGAAGATTGTGAATTATTAAATGAATATGAAAGCCAAAATAAGCTAATGAGGTATAAATATAATGATAAAGAATATTTAATTTCATGGAATCAATGGAGTCATAATCAAAGACCTCATAAACGAGAAGAAGAAATTGAAAATAATGAAATGGAAATCATTGATGACATTAAAGAGGATGGAATTCCTAAATTTTGTAGAAAAACCTTTAGAACTAAGTTAGGAGCATATAAACGTAGAGTATTAAATCCTGAATATCTTAAACATCAATTTAAAAAGGAAGACTGTGAATTATTAAACGCTAATGAATATGAAAATGCTAAATCAAAACTGAGATATAAATATATTGGAAGTGATGAAAGGTGTAAAGATAAAGATAAAGTTTATTCAGTTTCATATAATAACTGGCACACGTTAGGGATAAGAAAACATTTAGGAGATTATGGTAAAAGTTCCGAATTCTTTAAATCTAGTATATACGAGAGAGTAAAAGAAATTAGAAATAATTATTTTCATGAATGAAATAAACGCATTAAAAATTATGTCTTACATTTTTAAAGTTTATTTTTAATTCGTATGAAATGAGCGTCAAAACTAACAACGTTAAAAAATTAGGATTCACAAACGAGGAAATAAAGGATATATTAGATGAGATGTGTTATGAAGTTAGTAAATATTATTTAAGAAATTGTCAAAAATTTGCCGAGTTATTAAATGATTTAGATTATGATGGAAAAATGAATAAAGATGATGTTATAAATTTCTTATATCCCACATCTGAAGAAGAAAAACCTAAAGAACCTGATGTTTTCCCTGAATATTATGAAGAACGGATTAAAGATGATGAATACGATGAAATTGAAAGACTGAAAAAAATAAGAGATGAAATAGATGAAAAAATTAAGGAATTAAGAGAAGTTGAAAAATATAATGAAAATGAAGTAGAGGGTTTAATGAATATCCCAGCTTCAGAATCAGAAGTTCAGAAATCTCATGAAGAAAGATATAAAAATTATGTCTCAGAATCAACACAAAATTTATTAGATGGTGAAATAGACGAAACACTTTCAGAAGAAGGTACTAAATTTATTTGTAAACATAAGTTACAATTTATTGATAATGAAGAATACCCTTGTATCCTACTTTCACCACCTTTAGATTCCGAAAAATTCAAAAAAGCTCTTAAAAACGTGACATATGCAACTAATACGATTAAGAAAGAAGATCATGATATTTACACAAATTATTATTTAAATAAATGCACAGGTGTTGATAAAGTTTTTGATTTATTAGATAAAATATCAAAAGAAACCATTGGAACATATAAAATTTTGTGTGATTGTGGTTTCATTATTGAAGATACCAATAATGTTTCATATGAAAGAACAGCACCGAAGGAAGATGAAGTGGAAAGGTCTATACCATTCGTTATTAAGAATATAAAAGATATGAAAACGTATAAGCATTATATTTATTCATTTATTTCAGAAAAAATGGAAGCAACCCATAAAACATCTTCTCATCATTTTATAGCTATTCATACATTCCTTTTCAAAGTTGTGAAATTAAATAAGACAGGAATTAGATTTAATGTATCAGGGTACGCATTCTTGAGTAAATTAAAATGTATTCGTCACGTCGCAGATGATAAAAATTTATGTGTTCTTAATTCATTTTATGGGCTTTAAAAAATAAACTTTATTTTTATTTATTTTTTAATTTTTATTCTTACATAAATGAACAAAAACGGAACAGCTAAAATGAATGATAATCAAATTAGAGCAGAAGGTAGAAGGTTATTTAAACGCTTCTATAACATTCCTGATGGTGTTAATCCTAAAACTCGTAGAAGCTATTTAAATGAAGCAATAGATGCATATGAAGGGTTTGACATTTCATCAGAAAGTGAGAGATTAGCGAGAATGTTAAATGTTAATATTGATTTCTATTATTGTGATCCTCAACCAGAAGACGTGGACATAAATAAGGTAGACTTTCCATTAGTGGAATCAATAATGATAGATCCAGAATTTGAAACAGTAAATATTTTATTAACACAGAGTCCATGTGGAAAACTTCACGCTGACAGAATAACAGACGTTGAAGCACTCACCGGCTATAAAGTTTGTCCATATTGTAAAGAAGAAGTTTATTCTATCCGTGATGATCCAGAAAGGAAAAACCAAAGAAGATTTTTAAAGCATTGTGAGAAATGTAAAGAAAATAATGGAAGATTAATTCAAGACGTTCAATTGCAAAAGACCCAGCAACCATATGCACCACATATTACGAAACAGAAGATATATCAGTGGTTATTAGCTCATAATTTGCAGGAATATTATCAACCGACAAGATATTATATTACTTTTGACTTTGAAACATTAGAGACTAAAGAAGAATTACAACTTTCTGAGTGTGCAACTTTGAACGCTTACTTAAAACCATTCATGGTATCATCAACGGTTAAATTAAATGATAAAACATATACGAGGAATTTTTGCTTAACTTCGAGTGATTCTTTTATTTCTGATTGGATTGAGTTTTTATTTTCAACCTGTTCATTAGTTGTTGAATCAAATATTGAACAATATGAAGAATTAATGAAGTCTCATACATTAAATGAAAAACAGAAGGAAGCATTTAAAGAACTTCTAGATGAGGAATTCAATAAAGTGAATATCATAGGTTTTAATTCGGGAAAGTTTGATTTAAATTTAATTCTTCGTGATTTAAACACTGCAAAATGGAAAATAAAATCAATGCTGGGTTCATCTTCACAATTTAAGCAAATCATTGTAAAGAAAACAAACGTTCCATATGAATTGAGATTTATTGACATCAGAAATTATATAGCGGGTGGGACATTAGACCAATTCACTCAAGATTTCGGAAACAATAAATCACGTGTTAAATCCTTTTTCCCTTATCAATTTATCACATGGGAGAATTACGAAGAAGAATTATATAAAGTGGAACCATTCACGAAAGATTCATTTTATTCAGCATTAACTCAAGAAACTATATCAGATAGTGATTATCAAATATATCTCAATGATGCTAAAAATTTTAAGAATAGATTAGAATATTTTATTCATTATTGCAATAAAGATGTTGAAATTATGATTGACCCAATCGATAAAATTATTGAAGAAACATTTGTTTATAAAATTGATATGCTTCATAATCTTTCTTTATCATCGAATGCTTCAATGATTCGTTACGCTTTAGCATATAAAGACTTTAATCCTAATGAAAAATATCCTGAGGAAGAGA